GGGGGGGAGGCATCGATCGATGGACCTACCAGGACAGGTCTCCCGGAGAGAAAATGTCGGTACTTACAACCCAACAACTTCCAACAACTCTCTAGCGCTGTCTGTCTGTCTGTTTTTTGTGGGGGTTTTATGTGTCTATAGGGGCCAACTGCATGCCTACCTGCCTGCCTGCCTGCCTACCTACCTATATGTATGTATATAAATTATGTCGTGACATCAGTGCTTTCTTGTCCTGTCTCCATTTTTTTTAACATTGAAAATGTGACTTCTTCTAAGCTCACTTTTAGTTATGTGCTGTTTTCACTGTTATTAAAAATGGAGATAAGACAAGAAAGCACTGAGGTCGCGATGTATCTATCGCTCTAAAATAACAACAAAAACAAAAAGAAAGGAAAGAGTGGGCAAAGAGAGATGTGTGTGTGTGTTTGTGCTGGGGGGAGGGGGGGGTATATTCTGCCTTCTGTCTTACTTCAAGACAAACTGTGTTCTGGAAATGCTGTAGTATTGTGGTACTTCTGGACTTAACAGGTTTCACTTCTGTCATCATTTCTTGAGATTCCACTATATATTTTTTTTTATTGTAGAGGATTTGACGGCGCTCGCAAATTCATAAGGTCATATATATGAGCGCCAAGGGGTGGGTGTCAACAGAGAAGTCTTTACAGGGAATCAGACTTACGACTGCTCACCTCTCTAGCTTCAACAGCACAAGGTCTGCTTCGACTATCAAATCAATGCACCCCAAAATAGCAGATCACAAAGGAGTGACAAACATACAAAAGAAGTAGAGGAAAAACGACAATAGTAAGGAACAGGAAAGAAAAAGCAGCAGTTCCCTGTTGTAGATCTGGCACAGTTTTGAGCGTGACATGAATCAGCCCATTTATAATTCTACTGTGCTTGAATGAGAAATGTCCCCCCTTTGGGAATGGTCTGAAGACACTACAGTCAGTGGCACTAGATTCCATTATGTGTTGGGTTTCTCTCTCTCTCATCGAGGAGGCACAAGACAGTACTTAACAAACACAATAAAGAAGAGGAGAGACCAGGACGATAAAACAATATGTTTGATAGTGAAGAAGTCCAGATCAAACCACACCACAGCACCCGCCAATCACTCACACAGACAGAGATTTATTTTATTATTATCATAATTTTTAAAATAAAGACAAACCGGTATGGCCATGCTCACGTCCCTTTCTCCCTCCCCCTGGACTCCACCTCCCCTCCCCCAATCCCATCAACAAATCGCGGCTGATCCCCACGTCACATTGTGCCAGCTAGGCCTAGGGGCATATCCTGATAAATGGACTCATGGGCAAATATCCGGGAAAATGGCTTAAACTATGGATAAATGGACTCATGGGCAAATATCCGGGAAAATGGCTTAAACTATGGATAAATGGACTCATGGGCAAATATCCGGATAAATCATTACTTAGATTTTGGACAAATGGACTTGAGGTCAAATATCCGGATAAATGCCTTGAATGGATAAATGGACTTGTGGTCAAATATCCAGATAAATGCCTTGAACGGATTAAATGGACTTCAGGTCAAATATCCCAATACATGACTTACATGGATAAAAATGGTCACTTTTAAGTACAAGGGGCTATCCCGAAAAACGCTGTTTCGAGAAAATCAAAGGTAAAGTATTTGCCCCTTGTTGAATTTCTTTTACAGACAAGGAGAGCTTTCTCTATAACCAGTCCAAAAGAAATATCACTAACCATGGCAAATACCTTTTTTAACCAGACAAAAAAAATTAAAACAAAAAGAGGGAAAGGAAATATATATAT